AGAAACACTTTTTGTTATATTCCATGGAATGCTCTTAACATCCCGATAGCAATGAATACATTAAATGCTTTGACAATAAATACATAAAAAAATGTCATCTGTGGAAGCTGTAGTACTGTAAAAAGCACGACCAATCATCTGAGCCGGCCCGGCTAAAGTAACTGGATGGCCTACCTGCCTGTCAGCCTTCCATCTGTGCACACACTTATCTCGTGCCCTCATTGGTCATGTGCGCGTTCTTGTGTGTTGGAGGAGGGGCTCTGTAAGGAAGTCTGAAGGAAGGGGCAGATTTTTTCCGCTGAATTGGGCTAATGTTTGACACAAGCCAAACAAACTTGTTTCCCGCTACAGTTTCATAATTAGACCCCGTCTTCCTGTATCTGCAGCACTTCCCCAGCTCAGTCTTGTTGATGTTTTCCACTCTACACTCTTGATGTAGAAGAGACATGAAGAAGAGGGGACACATGTTGATGTAGAAGAGACATGAAGAAGAGGGGACACATGTTGATGTAGAAGAGACATGGAAACAGTGGATTTTGCATAATAGGTGAACTTTAAGGTGAAAGACACATGGCCCCTTTAAAACCATATCATTAATTTGACTGTGCATTCATTTTTCAGAAGACAAAATACTGTTTTTGCTGTAGTATATCTACTTAGTCCTGACTTTGGGAGGCATACAACTTTTTCCTTGACTAACAATTTAAGCATTCGCATTATCATGTTTGTAATTTCAGTTGTCCATTTTGCAAACTATATATACAGTCTATGGTTGCAATTTTTTCACTCAGTCATGTTGTGTTGAACTTTACAGACACCGATACCCATTTGGATTGTGGTGTATTGGGTTATAATAACATTTAATTTGATTTGAAAATATAAAATATCCAGCTTGAGTATGTCAGTAATTGTGAGGAAAAGAAATCAGTAAATTCATCCCAAACAATGGATGCTTAGCACTCCATAGATTGGCAACTGCGTCCTAGTATTTTTTCCTAACCTTTTGAGGCTCTTTAATTGACACTTTAATGAATGAACCTTAATTTGGCTGGTTAGTTCTCACCCAGACTTAAGCTTCAGGCAAACATTCCCTGAATCTGGCAATAGATATGTCAGACAAAAAAATCCTCCAATAGAATGCAGTGCAACAGAAAAACTCTACGCCCTGCAGATACCAACATCGTATCCCACCTCTGTAACTCCTTCAGCTTTAAGCAGTTATATATCTAGCAGAGATGTTCCCCTACAGATTTACACGTGTCATGTTATTTGAGTGTTTCCACCTTGACTTTGGTTTGGTCCACTTTTCTCCGTGCTCTAATTCTGAATCTGTCTCACTGCTTTTCACGTCTCCATTTCTGTTTCCACCGTCTTCCCCTCCTTCTGTGTCTAAACCTCTGTCACCCCTACAAGCTCATCAAACTTCCTCACCCAGGCATACACACACATATTCTCTCCTCGTGTGTTTATTTTGGTGGAGTGACTCTGACTGGTTTACTGCTCTGAAGGCCGGAGCAGTGACAGAGAGGGAGGGAGGGAGGGAGGGGAGTGGGAGGGAGCAGAGAGAGAGAGAGAGAGAGACAGTGAGTGGGTTGTGAGCCGCTATAAAAGAGAGAGCTGGAGCTGTCGGTGGCATTCACCTCAGCAGACTGAGACTCACACACACAAGAGAGAGAAGAGACATCAGCGGAGGAATCACACCGAAGAGTGAAATCTAGAAGATCAAGAGCAGTTCAAGACTTGTAATCTTCAGTGGACTTGGAGGTTTAAGGAGTTCTGTTTGAATTGATTTTGCTCAAACTCTTGCTTTGTGATTGCTCCTGAGCAACACTTGAAATAGGAAATAGCAAGGAAGGACAATTGTGAGAGCTGCACACTTTTTTGCAACTAATTGCACATCAATTTTGGGCTTCTTCTCCACCAATGGCTGCAGTGCGTCAGATGGTCATGGAGGCCTCAGGCTTCCACGTCCTGCCGGCCCACCTTATGGCCTCGGCCATGGAGGAATTCCCCCAGCAGCTGCCGGTCCCCAAGGGCCCAGCGAGGGGCAAGAGCCGCTCCCGGAGGCCCCGTGAGGCGCGCTTCAAAACACAACCTGTCACCTTTGCTGAGATCGCAGAGGTGGAGGAGGAGGGGTCCTCCCCCCTGGAGGAGGAGAGGGCACGCCGCTCCTTCCTGCAGTCGCTAGAGAACCTGAGGCGGAGCACCCAGACCCTCCACTGCCCCCCGTCCGCCCCTCACAGCTGCACCCCCACTCCCAGACACGCCAGCCTGGACTCCAGTGACTCCGACTCCCCCCACTGAGATGTGGTGGTCCCTGTTCCTCCCTTTCACCTTGACGCCGCTTCAAAGGAGGCCAACTGAACTGAACCAACCTGGCCTGCTACTGCTGCCTGCATTTATTATATACTAACATATCAACATACAGTATGCACATCTGTAAAGCCTGTGCCACAGACTGGTTAAAGTGCTGTATAGATATGATGAGTGAGAAAGTAGCAGGTGACGCTGTGTCCAACACACTCTTCAAATGTATTCCTTTTCTACTGTAGACGTCTACGAGGAAAACTTGAATGATAAAAGCTGGTTGAGATTCTTTTCCATTTGAAAGATGTATAGGTATTTTTGTTTCAATCCAGATTTTTCTACTTGACCGGTCACCATAGAGAGTTCAGTTAGACTGACTTTCCACACTGTAAATACTTTGACTAAGCAATGTAAGCAATGGGAAGCAGCAGAGAACCATTACAAAGCTTTTCAAGAGTTCGAGCTCTTGTTTTCCGGCTTTTCCAAGCTGAATGAAATCTGCTCTCCACAGAGCAAACACAATGCCTTTCTAAATGTCTTTATTTATTCTCTTATTTTGTTCATAACCAAGTGGAGTTGTAGATGTGATATTTGACTGCTCTTTCTGACTTCTAAAGTCTACTCGACTTTCAAAGAAAATCATAACCTTTATTTTTGTTTTACTTTATACATATATGTTACAATGTTTGTTATGTACTTTAATAAATATTTTCAAGTATTTTGAGTCATTCTCTGTTTCTATTTCTTATGTAATCACTATTAAGAAAGTGCAATTGCTAAAACCAAATACCATCAGTTGCCAATGAGTTATCTTATTTAGACTTTTTGTACACTGAACAAAAATATAAATGCAACACTTTTGTTTTTGCTCCCATTTTTCATGAGATGAACTCAAAGATCTAAAACATTTTCTATATACACAAAATAACCATTTCTCTCAAATATTGTTCACAAATCTGAAAAAAT